TTATATATTTATTTTTATCGGTTTTAACCTTTAGAGCATAGATTACACATTTAGGTTTTAGTTTGAATTTTTTAAAACAATTTACTTTAATATTTTATTTATTTTATGAATTTTTATTTATTTGTGCTTTACTTTTTTTTGTTACTTTTGAAGAATTAGTTATAGATTTTTGTTTAATTTTGAATATTTATTCGTTTCATGTTTCCAATTTTTTCATTAAATGATTTTATTAATTTACTTTATACTTTAAAATCATTTTTAATATACCTACATACGTTTGTATACATGTATATACACACATATTTATTTTATTTTAATTTATATTTTTTTTAACTGTGTTCCAACCATATTCGTTGTTTCTTAACTAACAATGTATTTCTCATACCCTTACCTATGTACTTCTAATTGCACTTCTTTCCAACTAGCCTACCCTAACACACAACTGCATCAATTGCCATCTTTCCCGCAGTCACTTGGGACTTGTTTTTGTTATTATTTGCATAAATATACGCACTCTGTATATGCACACGCTCTCTGGTGCCTCCAACAACACGCTCTCTCTCTCGCTCTCTACATTTGCTCTGCTCTTTTGTGGGTGGCTGGCTGTGCCAATGTTTTGGGCTGTGCCAGCAGGTGGCCATATGTAAGTAGTTGCTATTACTTGTCTATTGTTGTTGTTTTTGCTGTTGCTATTGTTTGTGATTTTTTTCTTTTTTATGCTGTTTGTTGGCGTAAACGTCAAAGGAAGTTTGGGAGTTGGTTTTTCGTTGACATTCGTTTTTTGTTTTGTTTCGCAAAGAAAACGCAAAACCACAATTCGATTTTTCGCACAAAAATTGAAAGGTAATATTTATTAGAATTTATATTTTCGGGATTTGAATACTTATTTTTATATTTATTTAATAATTTATGGAGTTTAGTGAATTTTATAGAGCAGCGCAGCGCAGATTTTCGCTTAATCGCAAGCCAACAGCTGTCAAAAGAGCACGCTTACCGCCGTTAAACGAGCGTTTTGCCTTTTTTATGCACGCATGCCCCTGTACATACATATGTATATGTATATATTACATGTGTGCAAGCATATGCAATTACACGCCGCTGCTTGCAGTTGTTTTCGCACGCCAATTCTCAAATGTCGATATGCAGCTTGGCGTATTGGCAGTTGTCATAGGCCTTCAGTTGTCACAGCCCCACATTTGCACGCTTATGTATACATAAATATATGCATGTATGTGTATATGCTACATGCAAGTATGTAATTTTGCATGTATGTAGGTGAGCCACACTATACGTCAATGCACTTTATAAAATTCAACACTTGCAACACCCTCACATGCACTTACATTGCTTTTTTGCTGTTGTTGCGCGAGCACTGAAATTTTTTGTTGGTTTTCCTTCGCGAATACCGTTACACACACACGCCGTTTTTATTTATTTTATATACGCTTACGCTTATTTCACACTAAAAATTAACAATAACACGCATCAAGCAATTCGAGTGCGAATTTTTTATAAAATTTATTTTTTCTTCTAAATTTCCTTTACACAGAATACCGCACCGATAAAAGTATCATGGAAAAACACACTGCCGAAAAACGACAAACCAAACCCAAACGCATGGGCTAAGGCAACAACCAACTAAATAACTGACAATGGACCGCGCGACGGCTACTACAACGACGACGACGTCAACACAACTTCACTGATAGATGACAGCAGAAAAACTGCTCTTCCCCAACGAGTTTCGGCGACGGCTATGTAAGCCGAAGCAACAGCGAGCAGCAAACAATCTAAGTGTACACACGCACACACACACATGAGCGGTGAGTTGGGTCATGCCCATTAGTGTCTGTGAGTTGTGGCAACAACAGCAAGTGACAGTGGCAAGCATACATACATATATTGCTGTTGCATGCGAATTTCTCATGCTCAGCTGTGTACGTATTAGTGGCGCACAATTGGAATTTACGCTCTTTGAGGTCATCAGCAACAGCCGCTCTGCAGGCCAATGCATACGCACATGCATACAAATATGCATATATGCAAGAAAATTGTCTGTGAAAACCTTCTGTGAAGTCAGGCTACTAAATGTCACTACTTTATGCTTGTTTACTGTGCCAAACTATTGAGTAGCGGTGTTAGTTGGAGCGGAATGACAGCTCGCTTGTGCTCTTTACTCTGCGCTCAACAAACTGCTAGTGAGAAAGTGGATACTCTTCACCTGTGTGCGCACGAACTGGCTGGTATGTTGTTGAAGAGAAAATTGCAAGTGATTGTAGCGGGTATTTAGTGTATGCGCACAGGGTGTGCCAGATTATAGAAAATTTTCTTTGGTGCATAATTTTTGTAACTATCACGAACCCAATATTTTTTTAGAAAATTTTTAAAAATATTGAACATGTGTCCAGCTGAGCCAACAATTCAAGGAAGCGACTGCCCAAACTCTCAAAATGATCTGAGAAGGAGTTACATATCTATGCCGATAGTCAAGTGGTCCATTTTTCTAGAGGAGAAAAAAGTCTGATTTTATCATTAGTATAACAGTTTTTACTAATTAGAATTTTAAGTGGCTTTCACGAAGCACCCCGCACAAATCTTTAAACATATACACAGAGTGTTGACTATCCGTTTCACATGTTCACAACACATTCGAGATTTTAAATGCAAACCCGGGAAAGATACACTCAGAACTAGTTCACTAACTAGCTTCCATTTTTTCTTAGACCTCTTTGTTGCAAACTTGCTTTGGTAAGAAGAGAAAGCATACAAATATATAGTACGAATAAAATTTATAATTTATCTCTGTGACAACTAATTGCAACATTACAAATAACGACTGAACTCATAAATTTTAGCTATTTATTAGCTCCAAGTCCTAAGTTTTCATTTCCAAATTTCTCCACACATTACTGTGCGCCTTTAAAGCCTTTAAAGAGTATTTCGAGTTCAGAATATCGAGCACCTCTAGAAGCAAGTACAATTAAAAACTACGAAATTCCTCCTCTTATATGTTCGAGAAAATCGTAAACCCACCAGTCTAAACGAACTGGGATTGAATGACACTGAAACACTCAAAATGAAGAGAAGAAACCTTGTAAAAATAGTTTTTAGAGCTCAAGTTTCTTCCTCAACTGTTGTATCGAATGTAATCTACCAATTACCTACTCTAATGAGTTTTTGGATAATTGGTATATTCCTCTTAAACTGACTCAGATTTGAAGAAGTCTTCTGGGGTTTCAAAAACGGCCAATTCCTTGAGAATAAACTTTATGAAATCTATTCTTCGAGGTAAGATAGAACTTATAAAGTCTCTATCTAAGTTACTATGCACATTTGTAAGCAAATATACGCTCGAGGTCTCTATTTTAGACGCCTAAGCCAGTCTCTGTCCCCCCACCACATATCACAGTTATCCAATTGAATTCGCACATTATTTCGTGCATCCTAAGTGAGGTCTTTAAATCACAGTCTCCACTCAGTCGCGGGTATTTTTTACTGCAGAACATCATCACTCTGAAACGCTTCATTTGAACTGAAAACTGCTTTTCATCAGCTGTGATATGTTTATTTTCTGTGAGCTGTAATTCTTACACGCTCGCCCACACTCTCTTGCTGGCAGAAGGTCTAGGCTACACAGCTCATTGCCAAGTTACGAGCGCAAATCTGCGTTCACACGCTGATGCACTGTTGCACCTGCAACTTTATGCAACTTTAAATGTCATTAAATTCACTTAGACGGCAGATAAACTGGCGTACAGCAGCAGAAGCTCATTCAATGGACACACACAGTCGAACTCTATGCGAGCTCTATATGAACTGCTTCACATATCTCTTAGTTTGCTGGAGATGTCCATTTCATCGACAGACCGACCAAGTACTTTGCTGTTTTACAAGTCTTTTATTTTTGCCTAGACGCTGGAAGCGTTGTAGGTGTGCGAGCTGTGGGTTTTTGGGTTGAGGATGAAGGGATTCGTATGTTATTTATGGCCAAGAATTTCGCCTGCAGACGGCAAGTGAAAAACGTTTTGGAATTTTTCAAGTGTTCCGATAAAAAAAAAACAGGTAAACATTTCCCAGTGAACATCAAATGTGTGCTTACTTCAGAGAAGTGGCCATCCGTCCAGATAGAAGAACGGCAATACCAGCTTTGAACTAATTAACAGTGCGTTTGGGGCTGATCAAGGAGTGCCTAATCTCGCTAATATCATAGCATCGAGTGCCTTTGTGATAAGACTGGTGAGCTAGCAAGAAAAGGCAATCTAGATCGCAAGAAATTTAGTGATCTCTTTGATCTCAGTAAGGCTAGCCTCTTCCTAGTTGTGGGGCTTTTAACAGGTCATTGCTATATTGGCGTCCAACACTAAAATAACAACTAAACGCTTTCTTCTTGACTGTCCCGCGTTTCAGATCGATATCTCAAAAGCTGAGGGACTGGTTCGCGTATATAACATGAAACTTATCCTCTGTTCAGGGTATGAAAATAAAGCTTGTTGGGTTGCTGCGAAACTCAGTTGCATGCGTGGCTCACAACTTATGGGCAACGAGTAAATCGCAAATCGCTGCTTAGATCAATACAACCCTACACAACGGCCTCTTCAACTAATCCCTATTTGCAACGAAATCATTTTCAGTATTGAAATTTTATTGTTTCGTGCTACTACAATTGCAACCCTGTGGAGCACTATTCATCTTGACGATGAAGACAGCAACTCAACATGGCCAATTGTCAATTGCACGCAATGGACACCTCTCAAAGGCACAAACAAAGAGCGAAATAAACAAAAATACCTTTGGTAGGTAAGCGATTTCGGATAATAACTGGCAGTTCCGTTAAGCATTTGTCAGTGCTGCTATACGCATAAATCCAATTTCACATCAATCTCAGTTGCAACGTAAGCAACAACAGCAACTGCAGCGTATATAGCGAACGCTAACAGCTTTAGCACCAACACCATGACCACCATCGACGTCAGCACCACCACCATCGACGTCAGCACCACCATCAGCGTCATCAGTTGGCACATCAACGGCATCAGTATATTCATCAGTGGCGTCTCCACATGATTTCCACTGACTGCAAGCGGCAGATAGCTTCTCACTTCTTGACTTTCTCATTTAGCACGTACGTTGGACACATAAAATTCCCGACAGCCGGAGTATGCGTCTGTCTTCATTGCCAAGCTCATGTGGTGCAAGCACTTTCTTTAGCCGTGTCTGCTCACTTCACTGCACTTCGCTGATTTGTACCGTTATACAGGTGTACGGTTAAGCCAGGTATATGTATGCTTTGCCAACTTCCGTCAAGCCAAGTCAACATTACACAACATAATACCGCACAGCACTACAAACACTAACGACCAACTTCAACTTCAACTTCAACTGCAACTTCAATATCCTTTACCGCTCTTAGGTGAGTGTGAGCGTGTGCGTGTGTGTCTGTTGGCATTTATTTGCCTCTTCAGTATGTCAACGGTATTTGTCCAACGTCCTGCGTGCCTTTCCATGTCCTCCTGCTGTGTCTGAGCATTGTTTAATGGTTTATATGAGCACATATGTGATGACGTTATGGCATGTGGAAGAGATTTCAGGGAAGATGTCAGGTTGGGTGCGGAAAATCATGCAGTCATAGCGCAAATGTGCAAAGATTTAAATTACTACCAACAAACCTGCAATATAACGAAAGCAATGCCAGGTGACGGAGTTTGCGACCGGGTACCTATTATAACGTACTTTCAGGATTAAAATGCTATTCAACGAAGCCCACTTTTGGACGAACTACTTCGAAGGTTCATTCTGAATTGAAATACAAAACTAGGTTCATCAGGGGTACAGCTGAAATATAATAGCACGGCCCTTATAATTTTGGAAGTGTTACATTTGAACTTTCATTCTGTTCAGATATTTCTTGCGCCAAACTTCAACAAACTCATTTAGAGGCCGACAATCTTCAAAAAGAAAACCCTTACTATTGGTGAGCTCAGCGGATATATAAATACATAGCTCCTCGTCGGATTTTCGTATTTAGGAACACAAAACTAATAGAGTTCAAGTGACGTTATTTGGTAGTTTACCGAAAAAAAAAAAATGGATTTCTGTTTAGTCCGAGTTCACTTTATAGTGTTAAACGTATTTAGAAAGTTACAGATGTCCAGCTCGAGGGTTAAAGCATTCAATAACTCAGCTGAGCCATTGGAAAAGAATCTCGTAATTTTTAAATAAAACAACGGTGAAGAAAAATGGATTTCTGATTAGTTCGAGTTTCCTCCATAGTGTTAAACGTGTTGAGAAAGCTACGGATGTCCTGTTCAAGTGATAACTCAGCTGAGCCACAGGACAAGAGTCCTGAAATTGTTATAATCTCCCGCAGTATAGAAAAATAGATTTCTGACTATTAAGTGAATAGTATAAAACGATGCCGAGCTCAGGTGATAAAGCATTCAGTAAGTATTCTCGTCTACTCTCTCGGTCTGGGTTTTCCAAAAAAAGGCCTCTAAAACCTCATTGAAGAATCTACGAGACTTAACGAACGGCAGTAAGGTCTTTATATGGGACGGAAAATATGAGCTCAACAAATTGGGCATTGAGATCATTACAACCAAGGAAGGTAGCCAGAAAGAGCAACTGACCAGCGCTTCTTTCACCAAAATCTTCGTGTCAGGTGGTCACTTTTGTAGTACTTAATCGCCTTTCCAGCCCGCTACGC